GCGTCTGCACGAAGCCGTGGGTAGGAAGAGTGTGCTCTGTCGCGTCCTGTGCATTGCGACAGTCGCCAAATTGTAATCTCTTAAGATGTGCTTATTATTTTTTTAAATTAAGAAACTAAGAGCTAGTTCCAAACTATGCGTTGCGTGGGGGTGATTTTTCTATTTTCTATTTTTCTGTTTTCACTAGCACTCCCTGGAGACGATGGAGCACTCAGCAGACGCGTCCGGACTCCTGGAAGGCTCTGATGTTGGGCCACAGAAAGACAGAGTGGTGACTGAGGAGGAATGGCTGCAAAAATGGGAAATGGGCAACATTGGATTTCACAAGGAACAAGGGCATCCGTACGTGACTTCTCTCTTCTGCCTAAGCTGTTTTAAGAAATGCTGTGAGATGAATGACTTGGCTTATTTGACAAGCTCTTAATAGAAAACAGAACATTTGCAAAAGGAAAATTATTTTATATGGGCACAGCTTGAGACCAAAGTATGCAGAGTTTTGTGACCTGTATTTGTCTAGAAAGGACAGAGAAAAGAAATTGTTGAAATGAATTTAGGTCTTTTACTCTTGAATCAGGTTTTAAACATTAAAGCTTGGATAACTTGGCAAAAAATCTTAAATTTTCTGATGCAGAAGCTTTGCACTTCTATTTATAAGTTATGAAACTGGGACCTGAAACAATATGCAGAGGGTGTTGGATCAGCTATTGTGCACTAGAAGACAGGGACCTAAGAAAGCAAACCTGATTACATAGTCTTTGAAGATCTGTAGAAGTGATTTGCTTGATACAGAAGTTCAGAATCTCTGTTGTGGCCCTCTCAAAGGTGGATTGTTGGTTTGTTTACTTGAAAAGACAAACAGGAAATAGACCAAACAGAAATCTGTGGATTTCTAACAGAAATGAAATTTAACTTCTAAGTAAATGGAAAGTGAATGTTTTTATTTTGTGTTTTTATTTCTCATGGCATGAAGCAGTTTGAGCTAAGAACCTGTTTGTGTACTACCTGACATAGCGTGTAGTACTTGGCTTTTAATGTGCCAGCACAAATATTCGCAGAGTTAAATAAAACGTTTCTGTTCTTCTGCAGGCTCCTCCGGAAATATATGGATGTTCTTTTAAATGGCAAGAGTGGACTAAGGATATTTTTTCCACTTTGTGGTAAAGCTGTAGAGATGAAATGGTAAAACAGAAACTAAAAGAGCAAAAATTTTATTTGATGTGGGGAGGGAGGAGACAGGGGAATTTCCAGCCTTGTATTGGCCAGTGGAAACGTGCTGCATCTCTACTGGTAGGAAAGCAACCACACTGAAAGCCGAAGTGAGGAAGAAGTTCGGTTTCATTTGGTGGTGTTTTGTATAGTAATGTAAATGGAATGGATAAGGACTAGCCTGAAAGTCCTCCTGATTGTCCCGAGTTCAGCCTAGGGAATGCTGAATTTCTGATGAATGGAGTGACTGAAGCTACACCCTTACCATTGCTGGTTTTGGTAGCAGTGCCAGTTTAAATTGCCCTCAAACCCTTAAATTGGTTGGTTGTGCCAGAGCACATTTTCAAGAGGCCATGTGGCATGTCACACTGGGAATTTAAATAATTTGGACTAAATATAACTTCCTCTTTTTTTATACTTAGTATTTTACTTTTACCTTCTCTTTTCATGGGGGTTATATTTATAATTAGGGCCTATATAAGCCAGTGTTTTATCTTGGAAGGAGGAGGCACAAACCAAAAAACATGACTGAACTGCATCAAGGAGTCCATTTAGTCCCAGTCATGAGATTTTATCATGGTAACTACTTGTTGGGCTGACTGTGGGCTCTGACGCACGTTGCTGTTGCACTGAGCTGCAGCAGCTCCGAGGTTACCGCACCCTGCTCACTGCCTGTGCCTGCCAAGCCATGCCTCAACCACGGTTCAGAGCAGAACACGTTTCTGAAATGGACAATTTCTCTGTGTAATCATCTCTGTTTTCATCAAGTTCATAGAAATAAGTGAGTAACTCATTGAATCTAAACAAAGCCTCTAAGTCCTTGTCAACTATATGCCGAGTGGTGCTAATTTAAACTCAGCCCATGGAGGAGAGGTGTTTGATATAATGTGAATGCCCTGGAAAGTCAGGATTAGACAGACCAGTGCATCCTAAAACTAGGGTTTCCCCGATGAATAAATGCTGCATGGGATATACACATTTGGTAATGGCCCGACCTGTGGGCCTCGTGTAAACTTGGAACCTCTTTTCTGTGTGCAGGCTGGCGGACATGGGACACAGCATTGTTGGGGTGGAAGTCAGTGAACAAGCACTGAAGGAATTTTTTTCAGAACACAATCTGCCTTATTTCGAGGAGCCAGTCCCAGAGATTTCGGGAGCAAAAGTGTTCCAGGTACATTTCCTGTGTTGCCAAATGATCTGGTGTGGTTAATCATGCAATGCAGTCTTAACTATGCAAACAAGTTATTCTGCTTTTGTTCCTTGGTTTTACTGGTAATCATTCACCTCTCCTGAAGAGGTCTGAAGGGAAATCCTGAGTTGTAATTTTGGACTGAGAAGTTATTCTTTTGAACTTACTACTTTGGACTTCTTTTCTTATGACAGTGAAGCACCTGAATGCACAGGGAATGTATTTCAAAACTGGACAGCTGCATGCCTTGATAGTTTAGAACCTCTCTGGAGGGGATCAGGAGAGTTACCTTAGTAAATGAAAACTAAAAATGTTTCTCACAGGTTTTTTTCTTATTATATGCAAGTGTATATTTTAAAATAGTGTATGTGTATATTTTAAGGCATAGTGTATAAATATATACTTATGAGTGCATATTTAAAGGCAGTTTGCTGATGAGTATTTTCTCCTTTGCTTTTTATTGTAGAGTACCTCCAGCAACATTTCCCTGTACTGTTGCAGTATTTATGATTTGTCCAGGTAGGAATATGCAGTGTGTTTTACAATTCTCTATAGTCAAACATGGATTAATACTGTCATTATACTGTCATTATTTTATTTGAATCAGACATAAAGATTTGTCAGGTCCTCTCAAGGAAACTCCTGTTAACTTACATGAGAAATGTGAATAGCCAATTTTCAACAAAAACTTAACTCTTGGTGACTGTTCAGGATGCCAACTAATTGTCTTTAAATGGGCTTCTTGTTCTAAGCCATTCTGTGAAAGCTATAGGAAAACGTTTGCCTTTACAGTTAAACCAAATTATCCTTAACATTATTGATGAATTCTGTCAAGCACAACTCTAGCACAATCCCTCACTCAGAGTATCTTAGTGAAAGTGAATATACCTGAAAGTGTCTTAGTACAATAGTTCCCTCAGGACTATTCTTACTCCGTTCTTACTCAGACGTGAGTTTCCCTGGATTATAAGATTTTGGTCATGTTTTTGTGTTCATTTTATTTTCTTATGAACAACTGTCAGGAACAAGTGTTTGTTCCGTGGCTGTTCACTAAGAAGAAGGACATCAAGTCTTAATCTTTACTTCGATGGGCTTTCCACAGCTGTACATACACAGGCATGACAGATAGTTTAGGACACCAGAACATTGTGTTTACTACATGATCCCTCTCTTTTTTTTTTCAGTCTGCATAAACTGGAAAGAAAGGCTATTCATTACTAGAGTCCAAAGTCTTTCAGACAGTAGACTTTTACTAAGAGTTCTGCTGCTGCAGCTGACTCCAATTGGTTTGAATAGTGTATATGTAACTAGTTCTGCAAAGTGAGTGCCTTGGAATAGATGGGCTGTATATGAAAGTGACTCTGTAGATACTGCCTGGTTTCTTCCCTGCCTTGCCCCTGCAGTGTAGTTACTTGCTGTGTAGATCCTTATAAATCCTTCTTGCTGTGAGTTGACAAGTTGCCCAGGGATTTTTAAGCTTCTCAGCAGTTTTTGAGCAATTCAATTCTAGGTTTTGTCACATGTAAATGCAGTGAAACCTGTAACTTCCATCATAACATGATGGAAAAATAATTTGAAATAAACCAAAAATAGGTGATGAATGACAATTTCAGTGCGTATTACTGGATCCAGTACATAGTTTGTCATTCACAAAATAAATTGGGAGATAGACGTTCTGGATGCAGAACAAACTGCATTCCCTATAGCAGATACCTGTGACTAGAAAAGTGCCCACACTCTTCTAGTTTCTGTGTACAGACAATTTGGTTAATTACCCAGTAATTATGGAAACTAAACTTACGTCTCTCTTGCTGAGGCTGGCCTGCTAACAGGTCCTTTTGATCTCCATTAGCTTAGCATTCATTAGAGAACTCAGATGTGCTCCTGACCTTTGTCAGAATGGGACATTTCAAAGACTCGTGCTAGTTAAAGAGTAACAGGAATTACTGCTTTCTCTGGGAACTCTGGGACATATGTAAAACAGTTATATTACACAACCATTGTACTTCCTAATACAATTATGGCTGCAAGACTTAAAAGAAAAATCAAAAATTGCATTAACTGAAACTGCTAAACATATGCAGAGATAGAAATTCACAAGTTTTTATCCAATGGGTTTCCCACAGATACGTGAATTTCTGATTTAAATGTTAGTTTTTGTTAGTTGTAGTAATACCTAACCCATGATCTCTCATGCCAAATACCATATAAACACATAGCAGTGTGATGCAGTGAAAGGCACGCCCAAGGGGAGTGAGTGCTTCCTAATACCTTAGCTTCATCCTGATTCCACATCACGAGGAAAAACAGCTGGTACCTTTTTAGGCCTTTTCCTCATGGCTTGATTCTGTTCAGAAGGAAATTGGATGTGCAGATGGGTAAGGAGCACCCAGACACTCGGCAGATCCTGGAATCTGGGCAACCAGGAGAACAGGGCTGGGGCAAGGCCACAGCATGAGCCAGCCTGCTGACTGCAATGATGAAATCAGTGGGGAGTAAAATACATGAAATGCCTGTGAAGAGCCACTGCCACCATTCCAGTTAGACTAGATTAAAGTTGGAAAGAAAAACCAAGGGCAGAAAACTTCAGTGGCTGGCTTAAGGTCAAGGAGCAGACTCAGCAATGCAGAGAGGAGAACCACCCCCAAGCCTCAGAATATCAAGTTTTTCACCTGGCCCACTAGACTTTCCTTCATGCATTGCTTGTTTACTGTCTCTTTAAAAAATCTCCTTTCAGTTAAGAGTCTGGTTATTTAAATTAGTTGCTTAGACTTGGCAAACTTTAAAAGAAGTCAGCACTTAAAAGTGTTATCATGTCTCATCACAGTAGAGTGGGAAGTACAGGATCAGCTTCTAGGTTAGATGCCAGTGACTTAGAAATGCTGTTGCAATGAAAATAGCAGCAGGCAGAGAAAAGTTGTCATGGTTTAACCCTGACTGGCAACTAAGCACCACACAGCTGCTTGCCCACTCCCCCAGTTGTGGGATGAAGGGGACAATCAGAGGGGTAAAAGCGAGAAAGAAACTTGTGGGTTGAGATAGAAACAGTTCAATAATTAAAAAGGAATTTTTAAAAGCTGTAATAAAATTAAAAAAAATACAACAACCAAAGAGAGAGGAAAAAAAATCCCAAGAAAGACAATTGGTGCAAAGGGAACAGTTGCCCACCACCAACCGACTGATGCCCAGCCAGTCCCCAGGCAGTACTCCATGATCTCCCTCCCATTTTTATTGCTGAGCATGATGCCATATGGTCTGGAATATCCCTTTGCTCAGTTGGGGTCAGCTGTCCCAGCTGCATCCCCTCCCAGCTCCTTGTGCACCCCCAGCCTACTCACTGCTGTCGTGGTATGAGGAGCAGAAAAGGTGTTGATGCTGTGTGAGCACTGCTCAGCAGTAACTAAAATGTCAGTGTGTTAACAACACCATATCCAGTACAAATCCAAAACATAGCTCTGTACTGTGAAAAAATGTAGCTCTACCCCAGCGAAAACCAGTACAGAAATGAAGACAGAGGTGATGCAATTGGACTCTGACACCTTCCCAGTAGACAGAAAGGTATTGCACAATTTCATGCCAAATTTTTCTCACTGAGTAGACTTATTCAAACTTTCTTTAAAATTATGCAATTTACCTTATTGCTACCTTGCTTTCTGAACTCCTGTTTTAATAATTACCAGAAACAGGGCTCTTCCTTATCCCTTGAATATGCTTACCTTTCATGTCACCCTGACTGCTCTTACCAGCCATCAATAAAGGCACTTCTTGATAGTCTTACCCACTTGCAGGTTTTGTGCGGTTACTGAAGCCATCTGCCAGCATGTCCAGGAGCAAAAATAATGTCTGTGGCAGCATTGCACTGAGGCAAGAAGCAGTGTAACTTGGCTTTTCTAACATTAAACAAATTGCAAGCTGAAGCAAGCTGTTCTGAGCACGTTGCTGGGAATTGCGGTGCCTAAAGTTACCGGCTGTGCTGAGTTTTATGTTAGTAAAGCAATGAGGCACCTTCCTTGGCCTGCATTTGAAATCCCATGTGAGTTTTAGAAGGCAATCAAGAGCTGTTGATGTGCTGAGTGCATGTTAGTGCTGCCTCAAGGGCGGTATCAGGGTGTGAGTGCCAAACACCCAGAGCTGTAGCCTTGTCTCAGCACCCACTAATGGTGGGGAAATGCTGACCAACTCCAGCTGACCACCGTTAGCTGCAGAATCCTTGTGACTTCACAGAAGTATCTGAATAAATATGAAGATGCCTTTTTCCTATTTTTAAGACTTTTCCCTATCTTCCTATAGCTCAATAGTTGGCAAGTTTGATGGAGTTTGGGACAGAGGAGCTCTTGTAGCTGTGAATCCATGTGACAGACAACGGTTAGTACATTGCATTGTTATTGTCTTTTCTCTGATGTATGCAGTGACACCTTTTTCCTCCTGCCACTTGTCAATGAGTCTTCTTTCATTTAAAGGACTAACCTATGCAAGTTCCTCTCTACCACAAGCATCAGCTGCAGTCAGAGTGCTGTACTCTAGGTTTGTGAACTGCCTTCAGGATGCTGCCCTGCCCCTTGGTGGGAGGATATGCGGTTTGTTCCAGCCCAGCAGAAGTAGAGCTGCAAGTCTCATCTGAATTCTATTATTTCCTTTTCACTCTATCTGCTTCTCCTCTCTTTGTGCCTTTCCCCCTCACTTCCCTTTATTCCAGTTTTTCTATCTTGCCTATAGCCAACCCAAATATAGTTTGAACCTACCCCAGGATCTTCTATTTAGATACATAATCTTGAATTCACAACAATCTGAAAAGATCAGTACTGTGTTGTGTATTGTATTCTGGGCTGTGGCAGATGAATACTTGGTTTATCTGTTGGTTTTGAGTTGAATATGTAAAACAAAAGGATAAATGCTTGTTTATATATATATAAATATAACCTATATTTGAGATTTTTTTATGTGTAGCAGGAATTTCATACTCCTGAAATTCAGACTAAGCTTTGCTTAGTTTCCATGCAGTTCAATTCAAATTTTCTCTGCATGGAAATGCATGTTACCTCTTTTGTTGAATATTTTGAATGCTGTGCTTTAATGCTTGTACAAAAATAATAAAGTATGACTCCCTCCTTTTAGCTATGTCAGCTTGATGATGAACCTAATGGAGAAAAATTCTTCTTATCTCCTTGTTACAGTTTCATATGATCCAAACAAGCACAAAGGTGAGAACTTTGCACTGCTCATGTCGTAATTTTGCATGATGTAATACAAATTTTATATAGATGCAGTAGATACATTAGTGTCTTTCCCAAGTTTTTTGTCTGTATAGCTTTGTCAGCTGATCACACCAGTATAACTGTGTGTTAGAAATTTTAGATGTTGATCAAGCTTGAGACAAAATTTGGTTTCTCTCTAGCATTCAGACATGCTAAGGGTAAGTTGAGGATGGACATGGTATATTAACAGTGAAATGAAACTGGAAGTGTGGCTATGACAATGAAGCTGAAAGAGTGAGTGCTTAGTAACATCCTTTCTGGCCTAGAGAGCTTCAAAAACTCAGAAGCGCATCAGCTTAGCTGTTTACCCAATACTTGCAAACCAGCATGTTGTCCCAGCAACTACCATGCTATGAATACATGTGGAAGAGGTGAAATTCTTTAAAATCACAAAGTATTTTTTCCTTACAGCTTTTATATTGTATAGTAAAGTGTGAGGTATCTTAAAAGATTGTATTTTTGTTAATATTAACTCTCAAAAGAGATAGATTTTTTGCTGCTTATGGGCCCTTGATCATAATTATCCCTGAAAAAAATAGAACTTGTTATCATAAGCAACAATAGTTCAATTCATTGCTTTCCCTCTAACATTGTTCAGCATTTAGCTTGAATTATGCCATTGTAGAATAAAGAAATTGTAGGCTGGAGTGGTTGTATGCACATGACATTCATAATGCCCTGGCTACAGCTGGAGATGGTGCAGCAGGAACACCTGAAGCTGTGTGGTGGCCCACCAAGGTGCCATGAGTTCTTGGACATGTTGTTT